CTAATTAGTTCTGTGTTTAATTCATCTCTGCAGTTGCACTATGTGGGACACTAACACTCCCTGCAGCATTGGGGGTGCAGAAGAAGGCTCGCTTCAGCTGATCCCACCACACGGCCAATCCTTGAGCCTTATATTTATGGCACAGTTTGTATTGTATATCCCATATATTTATGGTAAAGTTTCCCTGACCACCTTCCCTATATGTAAAATACCAGTACCCAAAAAATCAAGCTCTTTGGCCATCCTGCCTGGTATTTCTCAACTCCTGTTGTTGCTCTCACTGTGATGAGCTGAAGCTAAAAGCTTCTGGAAAATCCCACCCCATTGTCTTGAAGAGTCAGGAAAGAAACTGGGTGGCTGAAAAATCCAGCAACACTAACAGAAAGGATTCTTGGCACAGCTCTGCCTGTGCTGCATCTGCTCTGCTAAGTAGGTTCATGTATTTCCATCCTGTAGCTGTCTCCTGCTATTTATAGCTGCTTCCTTAATGAACTTTGGAGGTAGACACCAAGCCTGAGCCTTCCTAAATCGATGGTTAAATATCCTTGTTCAATTAATTTGATCTCATTATGAATGGACTGTTACACAGCTGGACTGGCAACTTCCACTCCTCACTGGAAATCACAAAATCACAGACTAGTTTGTTTGGAAGGGACCTTAAAGTTCAACCAGTCCCACCCTCTGCCATGGGCAGGGACACCTTCCACTAGCCCATGTTGCTCCAAGCCCTTCCAACCTGGCCTTGGACATTTCCAGGGATGGAGTATCCACCACTTCTTTGGGCAACCTATCAACTGGGATGCTCTCCATAGCAACCCTTTCCTGCAAGGCAGAAACTCTGAGTTGGGAAGCAGTACCAGAAATTTACTTGCCTCCAATGCAAATCTGATCCATCCAGCCCAAACCTCACCTTCACCAGGAGAGATGAATGGCAGCACAAGCCTCCAAACAGCACCTTATTGAAACTACACCACTACAAACATGCAGAATGCTCCTCCAAACCCATATCTGAAGGTTCAAGAGAGGATTTTTACTAAAACTCTCAAGAACTGCTGCTGATGGGGGGGGGGGAAGAGGAATTCTCTGAGCAAACTGGAAATGTTTACAAGCCTTTGATGGGATGAAACATTGTCCATCCCTCTTCTCTTGCTATATGGATGCTCTTATCCCTCCTTTTAGGTATTCCTAACTTTAGATTCTGCAGTTATACTTACCCACCTGGCAACTTTCTGACTCCTGACAAAAATCAGGTTTTACTCTCTTCAAGGCTGCAAGCATTGAGAGAATTCTATTCCTTGGCAGCAACAATTTTTCAGACCCACAAGTGGTTTGAACAAAGTCAGTAAGCCCTAGAGTATTGCAACACCTGGGTTTGGGCCAGGGAGGTGAGCCAAACTGACCTGGAGGGCAAGCAGACAATAAGAAACCCCTTCCCAGATCAGACAGAAATGCATTTCCTCATGGGAAAATCTCTGCACGTTTGTAGTAAAGAATGAGGAAAAGGGAAAGGGATTCAAAGAAACCTCTACCTGCCTTCCTTGTTCTTCCCTTGTCTCATCCCTTGCAAGCAGCAGCAAACTACACTCTTTGTGCTGAGAAAAGCATCAGCCAACTTGATTGAGGCAGAGCTGGGCAGGACAACCACTGCTAAAAGGTGTTTCCTCCTTACTGGACCTGAGTGGAAAGCAGGGCCAGGCTGGTTAAAGGATGTTTCACCTGCATTTGTCATGGTGTGCAGAGTCAGCAGTCCTGCCTGAGAACCAGGGTGTGGACACCAAAGCTCCCTGAGCACAGAGACAGCCCCTGCAGGCCTGGAATGCCCTGAAAGGGCTCTGCAGAGGGAACATTGGCTTCTTGCTCCTCCTCGGCCTCTCTGAGCATCCCTGTCTGGATTTGTGAAGGAGACATCATTCCCAAGCAATAACTTCCCCAGGATAAAACTTATCGGTACGCTTTGATTTCTCCAGCTCTCTCCATCTGGAGCTGAAGGGTGTTTATAAACTACCACAGTCTCGTTTCTTTGACTGAACTGGACACAGATTAAAAAGAAATAAGGATTGGCATTTCCAGACTGCATCAATTCCCAAATCCAGAGGCACAGCCTGACTGGTTTGGAACTGGAACAAAACTTTTCTACAGAAGGTTTGCATTTCTGGACCTGTTCATTCTGGTATCCATAGACATGTCCCATCAGGTTGCGTTGCTGTGGGATGAGCAGCTTGACCTGGTGAGTCAAATCCAGATTTGGCCAAAATCTGATTGCAGAGTTTTCACCAAAGTAGCTGAGAAATCATTTCCAGGTAAGATACTGAGGTTTAAGCTTTGCAGTCCTTAGGGACACATCAAGAAATCCAAATGATGTAGCAAATCAAAGCTGGCTAAAGCTTTCTGCTCAGGGAAAACAAAGCTCTCGATATACAGGACAATCAAGTTGTTCCCTGAACCTCCAGGAATTACATCAACAACTAGGCTATGAAAGATTTTGCAAATCAAATTTTATATTCTTCTCCTTGTACTAGAAAATGAACCAAATCACCAGTTTTATGCCCAGGCTGAACTGACAGTGACAACACTTGGCCAAGTTGATAATTGCAAAAATCAACACAGAAAAGGAATTGTATTAATTTGGGGTTTTATGAACTGAGATGAGCTGGACCAAAACTCATAATGTTTTAGTTTCTTCATGTAAAATCACATTTTGCTTGGTTTAGATTAAGAAAACAGAATATATGAACCTAAAATCTTCCAATTCTAAGGAAAAGAGTGAAATGTTCTCTAGTTCAGCCCCTTCAACTCAGCAATAGCTACATGAACAGCACTTTCACCCTGTCCTGCTCTGCTAAATCGCACAGGCTCACACCTATTCCCCACACTCTGTACTGAGACCTGCCTCAAACAGATGTGTTATGGTTCACCTCAGCTTCCTCCCAACTCCATTAACGCTGCTGTTCAATATTCCCCAGGTTTTGGTTTCTAATATCCTTTTGAATTCGAGCCACCTCCCCCTCAGTCATTGACTATTAACAGGTGAAGACTAAAACCCAGGGTTATAGCTGAGATTTCTGGCCAGGATTGCCAGCACTGGACACCAGCCTAAGCTGGGATGCTCTGTCTGGAGAGCACTGTGCTTCTCTGGGACACACCTGTGTGACACAGCAGGTGGATAAAGAAAAAATGGCTTCTTAGCCAGCAAAAAAAAGGGTAGGAAATCCAAAATTGAGGTCAGCTCTGCAGACAAGAGTCTCAGAAGAGAAACAAACTGGGGATATGAGGCAACCTGTAATTTAAGACAGTAACCTGAACTCCCCCTCTCCTTTACAGAGCTCTAAGCCAACTGAGCCAGCTCGTAAAGAGATCTGGACACCAGCACGAAACAGCAAGTCCCTGCAAGGACCTGGAAAAGTATCCGGATACGTGAGATGAGGAACAACAGAGAAAAAGGGCCCAGAGATGGGTATGAACAGTACTGCATGGCACACCTGGAATACTGCGGGGTATCTGTGATCCCAGTCCAAAAATACGCAGTGCAAAGAGGTCAAGGTGGAAAAAACTGTGGGAAAATTCCCAGCTGGAGAGAGCTGGAAAGACTGCACATTTGTGCATGCAGATGTAAGAGTAGGTGAGAACATACTAATGCAATAGAGAGAAAAATACCTTTAACCCCTCCTCAAATAGCACAGACACAGTGATGTACAAAATGAAAGGCAGAACACAAAACCTTGATGGAAGAAATGGGTTTTCAACCATAGGCACAATTAGCCTGTAGAGATGATTCCCCTAGGATATGATACATCCAGAAGCCAAGGGGAATTTCTCCAGGCCTGGTCACCTGTATGCCAAAGAACAGAGATGCAAATATAAAAATTAAAGTATTTGAGTTCTGTAAGACAGGTAATTATGTCTTTTGATGTAAAACCAACACCTAGTTTCTGAGCAGTGACAAAACAACTTCTCTGGGACAAGCAGGGAACTAGAGCTAGGAAGAGCAAATGTAATCTCTGACTTGCCTTCCTTTCCAGGTGCTGCTCTCTGAAGAGAGTAACTGGGCTGAAAACATGACGGATCTGATCCATGTTAATGTCTATATGCAGCAACAATCCAGCAACATAAATTCAGATTGAAAATTCACCTTTTCTTCACTCCAAGATCCAGTCACATGGCCCCTGCTTGCTCCTCTCTCTCACACATACACAAAGCATTTCCCCACTTGCAAATGCAGCTCAAATCACCTGGAATGTGCCTCAGTAGTCCGAACTGCATCACATCCCTGGCTGCTCTGCTGTCCTCAACCCGTCAGCCTGCTCCTATCTCCCTGCTGGTCCTACTGAAGCAGCCACCACCCAGATTTCAGGAAAAGCTTGTGAATGGGACCCTGTGAGTCTCTGCACAGGGATAACAGTAGATGGAGATC